GCTGAAGCGGTCGAAGTGTGTGTTTGGGTCTAAAGATATAATTTATCTTGGGTACTGTATTTTTCGTGAGGGTTTGCAAGTTGATCCTGTCAAACTTATAGCTGTTCTAAAATTCCTTACTCCGAAGTGTGTAAATGATGTGCAGCACTTCTTGGGCAAAGTGCAGTATCTCGATCGTTTTGTAGCACTGAGTGTTCCCTTCTTCTTCTTCCTCTCTTCCGTGAAGATCATCGCGTAAGTTCCCCTGTTTGCTTGCTCTAGAACAACGATTCTTCCATCATCTTTCTGATCGCACTGCACCATTGCGAGTGTTGCTGAAGTCATCAACGTCATCTTTCATCTAGTCTCCAGATTGTGAGCAAGCGTTTATGGATCTTAAAAAGCTATTAACAACTCCAGTTTTGGCATATTTTGACTACACTTGACCTTTATTTTGCACGTGGATGCTTCTGACATTGGTCTTGGAAGTGTGTTGATGCAAGAGAGCTCAAGTGTGCCTGGTCAGTGCCATCCTATTGCATATATAAACTATACATTACAACCAGCGGAGATAGACTATTCCATAATAGAGAAGGAGTGTTTAGTAGCAGTTTGGGGTTTCAAAAAACTTCATGCATATCTACATGGTTCTAGGACACTTGGCAAATAACTATTTCAATCTGAATGGTGAAAGTTCACATACTTCGCAATCATCTCTTTGAATGTCCAAATGAGCCGTTTCACCAAACTATCTGATTGTGGATGATAAGCACTCGTGAAAGTGTGGCATATCCCCAACTGAGACATCAAAACATAAAATGCCTCAGCCATAAATGCGGGACCATTATCCGAAAGAATCCACTCTGGACAAGAATGTTGGAACACCACTCGATTGAGGAGGAAGTATCCAACAACAGTTGCAAAGGTGCTAGCAAGAGCACTAATTTCCACCCAACGAGTCAAGTAGTCAAAAACAATAATAACATACTCATTTGTTAGCAGTGGACCATGGAAAAGGTCCCATAAGATCAAACACCACCAACTCAAATGGATGGAATACTGCAATGGACTATAATTGTCCTTTCGAGCTTTGTAGCATGGTCTAAAGCTTCAAAGCCCATTGAGCAGTATAACTAACCAGGTTCTTCCGCTTCAATAATGAAGTAATAGCAGCATGGTCACCTTCAAATCATAGGGGTGTAGAGTTCTATTGGTGCTTCACCATATAAAGCCTTATGTAGTTATAATCCAATATTACCAATGGAGCTGGGTTTACCTTTGCGATTGCCACGAGCTGCCAATGCTAGGTCATGGGATCAATATTTGATGAGCATTCTTTCACTTGTCCAAGTAGAGTCTACCGAACACTTAGGCTGTGTACAAGTGGGACAACAATAGTGTTACAACTCCCATCATCATCCACCTGTGGAGTGCAAAGTGGATGATTTGATGTTAGTCTATTTTCCCTATCTTACGGTATGTGGTTTATCTAAGAGGCTCCTTGCACAGTGGAAAGGACTATATCAGGTGTTGTGGCAAGTTGGACCACAAGTTTATGAGGTTCAACATGATGTCCAATAAGCCAATCGTCCAGTGATTATACATGTGCAACAGTTGAAACGCTTCATACAAAGGGATCATGAGTAGTTAGTACCACCTACAGATCCACTGATGCCTCCTCCTGACATTCCTCCAAATCCTAGCCCATTTACAAGAGAACTCTGATGGTCTTTCATTATTCCGAGAGGAAGGGATGATGTGAGGGCCAAGTGTATGGTTACGATGCCGTATACTAATATTAGCATAATGGGATTTTAGTAGCTGTTAGATTGATTTCAATCCAGACCACTTGCTCCTGTAAACAAGCTAGGGTTTTTGGGCTAATTGATATACACATTTTCTATATTCCCTTTTCACATTCCAAGCACTCACAATAGGTTTAGACAATTTTTATTAGGTACTAACTTAAACTATATTATGCCTATTTCTCATCACCTAACTAAAAACTCCATTGTGTTATTGTATCATTAACCTTATGTCCTTGCCTTTGACTTGTGTTGACATGTCTTTAACCATTTTTGTTGTTTAACAAAAAATGAGTTTTTTTTTCTTCTTCACCCACTTCAATGTTTTTCTACAATATATATTCAATATGATTACCTATGATAAAGAATCAGCTTCTTACAGCTGACATACCTAAGCATGTCCTCACCTGCACTACGACAAAAAACACTCAATGTATTTGAATAAATCCTTCACTTCATCAAGGTCAAACAAGAGAAAAACAAAAAAAAAATTTAAAAAATAACCCTGTGTACATTGGTCCTATTGTTCAAGTGGGAGTTTACTGCTCGGAGGATAATTCTCTTCCATACGAATTAAATAGCCTTATGCATCAGTTTATCAATTGACCTTTTAAAAAGGGACAAAAAGGAAGTAGATCTGATAAACCATCCATTTCTTTCACATGACCTGAATTAGATCCTGAATTAGTATTTTCTAACATTCTCTGTTTTTAGAGAAAGAGAGAGGAGCTTAGTTGACATCTGGTCTTCTGATTAACTGTCTTGTTTGGAATGTCCCTCTTAACTGGTATGGTTTAGGGGAATTTGCAAGTGGTTATGGAAACACAGTAGTCCTAAAAGTTGGGAAAGGTATTGAGAATCTAGCTGGTACAAGGGAGAGCAGTTGAGGTAGTTGCGTGTTGATGACAACCCCGAATCAACCATTGGTGCAACACGAGACACACAATACATAAACAGTTTTAAGGATGAATGAATGAATATGTGTGGGATGTGTGATCGCAAAACAAATGCCCACCCATCAAATGCCATCTCAAAGCATCTGGTTTTGCATTAATTGGAAGTAAATTTTACGCAAGAACTGGGCCTAGGAGGGGGGTGGATGCGGCCCCATTCTTGCTTAGCCGCCCACTCCACTAGAGCTCTACCCTTCGCTCTTTTGACCACAGTCAGAATCTCTTTAAAAGCTTTGGACACCGTTTTGCCCTAAATTCTGAAGATTCTTTCTGCCAGAGACATGACGAAGGCGTTGCACCTCGCCATTCTCTCGGCCGCATGCACCTTCTTCTCCGGATTCCAAAACGTTGCCATTTGTTCTTGGCTCCAGCCATTTCTCCTCTTGCATTTCTTCCTCAAGTCAGGGATTTCGCGCAATTCTTGCTCATGGCGCTCCGCGGCGCTCACAATCCTCCTGGCGCTCCTCCTCCAGACCATCGCCGCGAGCCTGGCGTTCCTGGCATTGTTCCCGGGAAAGGTGAGCCCGGACAGCTCCACGGCCAGCAGCGTGCCAATTGTGGGAATAATCTGGGCACTGGCGCTGTGGGTGTTTCTGCTCCTCCCATTTCTTGCAAGCATCGGCTACAGGAAGCGTTTTGATCGAGCAAAAACGTCCCAGCCGCTGGTATTCGCGTCGATCTGGACCACGGCGTGGTTCCTGTGGAATCGATTCGGCGGCGTCGGCGCCCTCCTCCATCCCGCCGTGTCGCAGGTGACAATCTTGCCTCTGGTGATGAGCGCCGGCGTGTGGGGGATGGATGGGATCGCATTCCTCATGGCGTGGTTCTCGGCGATTCTCCACGACAGGACCGTTCTCGACGAGTCTCTTCCCAAGATGGAGAAATCCGACAAGAAGCGTGCTACGCAGCTGCATCGCGGCCACTCCCTGGCGTTTGGAGCCATTGCCCTCTCGACCTTGTTCTACGGCAGCGCCAGGGTCTCGGTCTTCTCGGGCGATTTCTTCCAGAAGGACATCGCCCTCACGATGAAGAAAACAGTGCCGGTCTCTTGCGTCCTGGGCAAGCTCCTCGTCTACGAGGACATGGATGTGATGCTCAACCGGACGAACCAGCGCCTCCGAGCCGGCGATCGGTTGGTGCTCTGGTCCGAGGCTGCGGTGAAACTCCACCTCAAACAGGAGAGGGATTCTCTCCAATTCAAAGCCGGACAGATCGCTTCCCAGCATGGCGCCTACGTTGGCATCACTTACGAGTACAACGACGCGAGCACTGGAAGAGTCGGGAACTATTTCGACCTCGTTCTTCCCGATGGCTCCATTGGTTTTAGCTACAGGAAAGCCCACTTGGTTCCATTCGCGGAGTCGTATGTCACTCCGGGGGATCCCATTCTTCCCGCCATCGACACCGAGCTCGGCCGGATTGGAGGAGCGATTTGCTTCGACTTCGAGTTTCCAGACCTGATGCGCCAGGCCGGGGAAAAGAGGTAGAGCAAACTTTCAGTATGGTAGCCTAGAGTTCTAAGTGTTTGGTGGTGCTTTGGCAGGATTGATATCATGCTCCAACCAGCCGAGACTTGGGGAGCAACCGGCCCCCGGGTGAAAGAGGCCGATGCCTTCCGTGTCGTGGAGAACGGCTTTAGCTGGTTTCGATGCTCCACGGGAGGCGTTTCAGCCGTTGTCGATCCCTATCTCCAGACATTCGACCACAGGTGCGACAGTGTTAGATCAATGTTCGGCTGTGATATTCTTTTGGTTTCCTTTTGCTTGACAGGGAAGGTATCTCCGACTCGGTCTTTGCCATGGCGCTCCCAATACTTGGGAAGGCGTGGACGCTTTATCCGAGCTATGGCTGCCTTTTCGCGTGGCTAGTGGCTGCGCTCGCTGCGGTACACGTCTCCATGCTCTGCCTCCCTCTTGGAGCAGTGATGTACATCCTTGACAAGTCCCCGCCCGCCTTTGTGTTTTACATCACTGGCGACCGATCATTCAAGGAGTTTGAGAAGTCGGAGCTAAGTTGCGTGCTGCTGGCGGAGTGATAGCGATCGCTATCCATCGTGCACACGCTGCCGACGGTAATACTCGCTTGTCAAGTGTGACTTAAGATTCCTGTGACGCAGGCAGTGGAGCCCAATGTGTGGGCCAATGTATATAAAGCACCGGTAATACGATGGACCGACACATTAGAGGACTCCTTGCATTGAGTAGAGCTTCAATCACTCCTTAGGTGGCAGCGCAAAGAATCTACACTTTTTTGGATGTAGCGGCGCAACTTTAGGCCAGATCTTTGGAGGGATTCAAGGCCCCAGAGAGCAACACGTAGGCGTTGGATCGCGTCGGCTGGAGCGTCACGGAATGCTGCGCTGCCAAGCGCGCTGGCTCGTTGCTGGCGTGAACTGAACTCGCTGACAAAAGCGTCATCCATGCTGTGGATTCGGGGCGGAATGGCATGTTGGAGACGAGCTCCTGGGCTTGCTTGAGCTCGCCGGAGCGACCCAAAACATCGATCAGGCAGTGGTAGTGCTCGGGCAGCGGGGGGATTTCCCAGTCCCTGGTCATGGTCGAGAAGTATTTCTTCCCTCGGTCCAGGAGCCCCACTCGGCTGCACGCCGCCAAGACGCTCACGAAGCTCAGGGCGTTGGGTTTGATGCCTTCCATCTCCATCGCTCCGAAGAGCTCGAGAGTTTCGTGCCAGTAGCCATTCTGGGTGTTGCCTTGGAGCATTGTGTTCCAGGTGACTACGTCCTTCTCGGGTATGGAATCGAAGAGAAGCTTTGCTTCTTCCATCCGGCAAATGTGAGCAAAGGCTTGGAGTGCTGACGTCCACGAAAGGTGGTCTCGCACTGGCATGGATTCGAACAAGGTCAGGGCTTGTTCCAAATGCCCGTTTTGGGCATATGCCGAAAGCATAGCGTTCCACAAGATAAGATCCGCATAGGGCATGCTGTTAAACACTTCTCTAGCTTCTGAAATACTGCCACTATTTGTAAGAATTTCTATCATTACTGTGCTTGCAATGACGTCCTTTTCTGGCATTCTATGGAAGATTACCTTTGCTTCGTTGCAATGCCCGGATTTGCCATAAGCAGCTATCATCGCCGTCCAGCAAGTTATGCCGTCGTCCGGCAATCTATCAAACATAGATCGCGCCTCTTCTAGTTTTCCATGCGATGCGTATGCAGCGATCATACAGTTCCATAGAACGCTGCTGTGTTCTGGAATACCGTTGAAGAGTGAACTTGCCGTGTCAAGATGCCCGTTTTGAGCATATGCTGTAACCATGGCATTCCAGGAAACTATGTGTTTTTCAGGCATAGAATCAAACACTTTCCTAGCCATCGTAATATTTCCTGCTTGTGAGTATGCTGTGACCATTGTGGTCCATGAAATGACGTCTCTCTGTGGCATTTTTTCGAACAGACAGCACGCTTCCTCTAGGTGCCCATTTGAGGCAAATGCTGAGATCATTATATTCCATGAGAAAATGTTGGGATAGAGTATGGCGTCAAACACTCTTTTTGCATCTTGGGCGCTGCCGCACTTTCCATACATCTCGATCAGAAGGTTCGCAAGGTATCTGTCTGATTGATGTTGCTCAGATCCCAGGATCTGAGAGTGGACCTCCTTTGCGCGGGATAAATCGCTGAAACCTCCAACGGATCTGATAAACTGTACGTAGAAGCTGCGTTGTAGACACATAGAATGTATGAAATACAATATCGAAAATGGTCACCAGTCTTCACATTTACTACAAGGCATAAAGTGGATATTGCAAAACGTAATCATAATTATTATTAAAACTAGAAAGTGCCCAGCAAATGCCAAGGTTTGCAAAAGTATTCCATCAGCTCCCAAGATTTCTTGCCCATACCCAGCGTGTATCTGCCATGCACAGGGTGCAGATCATCAGTTTATTCGAAGAAATGCCACGCGTTGCAGTACAGCTTCAGCTGAGAGGCTGGCGTTTTAAAGAACACATGAATCATAGCTCCGTACATGCAAAAGAAAAAAAATGAAATAAAAACTGCAAAGCTTACTTCCCAGCAAAGACGTATTGATCACCATAACAGTTCAGCCTTTGCGAATATCCGGGGTTGTGCGGCAAGCCATGCTCCACCTTTTACTTTTCAAATGGCATTAACAGAATCGTTAGCTCACATTTTACATGCTCTGAATATGCTCCTGAGAAAAAGAATGCCCAGATAATTATGCGTTCTTTTACATTGGTCCCTTTTTGCCAGAATTGTATATAAAGGGTTTCAGACCCTGAAAATTTCGTCCAAGTCTAGCTCGAAGCCATGGCGGAGGTGGCGAAGTTCGTAGAGCAAGTGATTATCAAGCTGGCTAATGCTGCTGAGGAGGACATGGAGCTTAACAGACAATCCAAGCCGGCCACCAGCAAGCTGAAAATGCTCGAAATTTTCGTTGGAGTGGCTGAGAAGCGATTCTACCACGCCCACTTGTTTGATAAGGGTGTTTTGATGCTTCTCGCTGCTTGGCTCAAGCCGCTTCCAGATGGGTCACTGCCCCATGCCATGATTCGCAGCACAATCTTCACAATCTTGCTTGAGAAGATGCCGATCGATTTGGATGATGAGACGAGAAAGAAGCAACTTGCATGGAGCGGGCTGGGCATGGTAGTGAGGTATTATCTAGAGCACAAGGAAGAGACGCAGGAGAATAAATTGCTGGCCAAGAGGCTGATTGAGAAATGGAGTCGCGTGATCTTCGACACAGGAATTTGCCGGAGCAAGGTCGTCCACGATGAAACAACTGGTGAGGTTTCTTCTCCATCAAAAAAGCGACCGGCAACAGCGATTGTAGAAGAAAATTTGGATCTCGGGGAGAAGCCATCTCCAAAAAAGAGAAGAATTCCACCAATCATAGCTCCCCAGCCCATGACCATGAATTTCTCGATTCGTCCAGAGTCTAAGTTTGGTGGAGAAGCGATTAGAGAGAGTATAATGCAACGTGAAGCAATGGAATCGAAGAGGGCGAGGCTAAACAAGTCCATGAAGCGACTACACGATGCCAACAAGAGAAGGCCCAGAGTCATGGGGGGCCGAGGTGTCCTCCTAATGTAAGAGATGTTCTTTGCTTGAGAGATCGAGCTAAGACTTAGAAACTATGAGAATGTAAAAGGTGCCAATCTTACAATGGTTACACCGATTTTTGCGCATGGAAAATAATCATATTCATTGTTTTACAGCCTTGGAATTTTCTTGCCGTACAATATTTAGTGACCGAACTAGTTAGAAAGAACATAATACGAAGAATAAAAACGCTGCAACTAGAAAGAATCCAAGAAAAACCAAGATCTCGACGGATGGAACCACATACCTTGGGACAATCGAAGCGATCATCGTCTCGCTCGGAACAAAACCTTGATCCTCGCGCGCGCGATCTACACCTGCAAAACAGCACAAGCAGCACGCTCCCTACGCAGGTATTAACCTGTTCAGGTGCAAAGGGACTCTCTCAGCCTGTCCCTGAGACGGACAAGCACCCCTGGTGCTACCACTGTCAGCAATGCAAAATAGCGAACCTTCAAACTTATAGAGCAAAAACGAAAGAGAAATCTAGCTACACAGGCGAGAGCACCACCATTTATTCCCTACAAACCAAACCAAACTCTACCTTCAAACTTGACCGTCATCTTCTCCAGATCCAAATCCTGTCGCTCCTTTCCTTGGCGAGGTCACCTACAAAGACAAAACTTTCAAGCAACTGAAGAAAAGAAAGAAAAGCTTACCTTGTGAGACAAGATGATCTTTGGTCCATCGCTCTTAAGCAACTGGTTCTTTGCTTTCCTCCGGTAAATAGATCTCCCCGCCGGACTCTCCCCACTGCTCGCCGGTGATGGTCTTCTTCGCAGCTGAAAACTCCTGGCTCATCTTAGCCATGCCCTCTTTCATCGCGTCCTCCATATTGGTGTAGCCATGCTCCTCAGCATACTTCCTCACGTCCTCCGTGATCTTCATGGAGCAAAACTTTGGACCACACATCGAGCAAAAGTGCGCGACTTTTGCTCCTTCGCTCGGCAGCGTCTCGTCGTGAAACGCCATCGCTGTCATGGGGTCCAACGACAGTGCAAACTGGTCCCTCCACCGGAACTGGAATCTCGCCGTGCTCAGCGCGTCGTCCCAAGCCTGAGCAAAAGGATGCTGTTTCGCAAGGTCCGCAGCGTGAGCAGCGATCTTGTAAGTTATCACCCCTTGCTTCACGTCGTCCCTGTTCGGCAGCCCGAGATGTTCCTTCGGCGTCACGTAGCACAGCAGCGCAGTCCCGAGAGCTCCAATGGTGGCGGCTCCAATGCCCGAAGTTATGTGATCGTATCCAGGGGCGATATCGGTCGTCAAGGGCCCCAGCGTGTAAAACGGTGCCTCGTTACACCAGTCGAGCTGCTTCTCCATGTTTTCTGGGATCTTGTGGAGTGGTACGTGGCCGGGGCCTTCGTTCATCACCTGGACATCCTTCTCCCAGGCCCGGCGAGTGAGCTCGCCTTGGACAGCCAGCTCCGAGAATTGCGACTGATCGTTCGCGTCGTGGATCGAGCCGGGTCGCAGGCCATCGCCGATGGAGAGCGAGATATCATACTGGTTGCAAATGTCGAGGATATCGTCCCAGTGCTCGTACGCAAAGTTCTCCTTGTGATGCGTCAGGCACCACTTCGCATGAATGGAGCCACCCCTGGAAACTATTCCCGTCACCCGGTTTGCTGTGAGTGGGATGAACCGCAGCAGCACACCAGCATGGATCGTGAAGTAGTCCACACCCTGCTCGGCCTGTTCCATGAGAGTTTCTCGAAACACCTCCCACGTCAAGTTCTCGGCGATGCCGTCAACTTTCTCGAGCGCTTGATAGATGGGAACAGTCCCGACCGGCACCGAAGCGTTCCTTAGAATCCACTCTCTCGTCTCGTGGATATGGCGGCCTGTGGACAGATCCATGATCGTGTCAGCTCCCCATCGAGTCGCCCACTGTAACTTCTGGACTTCCTCCTCGATCGAGCTCGTCACAGCCGAGTTGCCGATGTTTGCGTTAACTTTGACGAGGAAGTTCCTCCCGATGATCATCGGCTCCAGCTCCGTGTGCTTCTTGTTGGAGGGAATGATCGCCCGGCCTCGAGCAACCTCCGAGCGGATGAACTCGGGTTCCATGCTCTCTCTGGTCGCGCAGTAGAGCATCTCCTCAGTGATGACTCCCTTCTTTGCGTAGAACATTTGCGTCATCCTTGGCTGGGACTTTGCCTCGCGTCTCTCGATCCAAGCTTTCCTGAGTTTCGGGATTCCTGCGCAAAGGCATGCATGAGAGAAAAAAAAAGAATGGATCGACAGCATACCATTTCGCGGATCGATGTTTTGAGGTCCAGTGGTATCATAGAGATCAAACGGCGGGTGTCCACCGGATAGATGCACGCGACGAAAGGGAACCTTGAGCGTAGATCCTGTTTCTTCATGCACAACGTCTCTAAGAAATGCAAAGAAAGAGACCAATCGATCAATCGTAGAGAAAGAAACCAATCGATCAATCGATAAAAAAAGAAGAAGATTTCTTACGTGGTTTCTTTGGTGCAATTTGGGAAGCACTCCTCGAACGATGGCAGTGGCATGAACTTTGGGGCTGAGGGATCCTCCGTGGGACGCGTCCTGGCCGAGAGCAATCCCTTCGAGTGCCCATTCGATGCCCCGGTTGCGGCCGCGGGGACGGCATTCACCGCCTTAATCACGAGAGTTCTCACCTTCTTGGCCTTGGTCGACCCCAGGAGCCGCGCCACGGCGCCTTGATTGGATCCAATCGCCGCATCGCTGTGGGAGATGGAAGAGAGGGCGCAGCTCGACGCCATAGTGGCCATCGATCGAGCTCGAAATATCCCAAAATGCCAAAGTTCCCTCTCTCTTTAATTGGAGGGAGAAATATCTATGCCAACCTTTGCTCGTACACATTTCTTTGACCGTACACATCAAGTTATATATAAGCGCTTATTTTCAAATGGAATGATCGTTCCTTCTTCAAAACCTGTTCATGCCGAGCGAAGAAAAACTTTGCTGCTGCTGTTGCTGTTGCTGCTGTTGCTGCTGCTGCTGCTTGGAGGAATTGCCGCTGCTCGGCATCCCAACTGCGTCGTGCGATTGGAAGCTCTGATGGTGCCGGTGATGGTGGTGGTGAACTTGATGAGCCGCTTGATGAGGCTGCTGCTGTTGATGAGCTTGGGCTTTCGGCGATGGAGACCCTCCATCGCTGGCAGCAGAGGTTAGAATGTATTGAGTGTTCTGAGTACCGATAGCTGTCGAGGCGGATGATCCGGCCGAGAGTTCGTAGCTTGTTGGAGACTTTGTCCATGCGTCTGATGACAGAAGAGAGAGAGCACGGCCTGAGTCGAGCACGGGGCTTAGTCCTCCGCCGCCTCCCCCTCCACCCCCGCCCGAGGAGGAGGAGAGCGAGAGTTTGGCCATGCTGCTGTTTGACGCCGTGATGGCTGCTGCTGTTGTCGACGACGACGAGGAGATCGTCGGGAGGCCGGTTGGTCTCTTGGAGTTTTGGAGCAGCAGCAGCAGCTTCTCCGGGGAGAGGTTCTCCACAAGCTGTTTGCTGAGGAACTGGTCGCGGCCGAGGCGTCCCCAGGCGCCGGCGCCGTAGCCGAGAGCGTGATCGCTGTGACTGTCGACGATGATCGAGGAGCCGACGCCGAGCCTTTGGTAGGCAGCTGGCCAAAGGAGAAAAAGCAACGTCAGCCGAGATAAAAGCAGCGAAGTTTATATGAACTTCACCTTGGAAGCTAGCGTTTCCCATGTTGTAAGCAGCTAGAGCGTCGGGCTGTGGCTTCCTCCGCCGCTCGTTATGCCCCTGCAGACGTCTCCGGCAGCTCCGTTTCCCCTCGTCAAACTCGGGCAGCAAGTGGAACCTGTGAGAGCAAGACCAGAGTGTGTGAGCCAACTAATGATTGTAAGGAAAGAACCAGCAAAGAATTCGTTCAAGCAAGAGAGAAAAGAATAAGAAACGAGAAAAATCGCTCTCCTGGCACACAAAGCTTGCAAGCAAGATCGAAGAAAAAAAGAGAAAAACTTAAGTATGGAGTGATGGAAAAATCTCTCCTGACACTTCCACTCACGCACTGACCTGCTGCATTGCTGACAGAATCTTTGCTCCTGGCCATTGACAGTGTTCTTGGGAGTCTTGGAGTGGACTTCGCAAACTTTGTGGCGGCGGTGGTAGTCCTTGGAGCCGGAGAGATCCGCCTGGCAGCCCTCGACTTGGCACTTGGGAGTGACGCTGGTTTGCGAGCAGCCCCGCCCCTTTTTGGCCGGAGGAGTCGAGGATGGAGGAGGCGTTCCGGCCGCCGCTGGCGCTGGCGAGGCCTTTTGCTCCTCGTAGGTCCTCTTGCCGAGCTTCAAGGCCATGGGAGACGAGGAATTCGCCGCTTCTTTCGTGTCCTCGTCCATCTCCTCCCAAGATCGCGCCTGCGCTCCGCCCGGCGAGGATTTGCCGGGGCTGTAGCCGCTGATGCCGCTGCTGCAAAACCCTAACTCCTCCCCAGGATTTCTCGGCGCCTTGACGGATTTCCACTCCCAGGGCTGCTGCTGCTGCTGCTGCATCTTACCTCGATCCGCGTCGCCGCTGGCCGGGGATTTCGATGCTCCTGCGCTGGTCTTGGACGGGGAGAGCGCTGCGGGAGAATAGGAGGGAGAAGAGGACGACGCCATTCCTTTCTCTTTCTTTTTTCTTCTTTTCTCTTCTCTGGTTGGTTTTTGTTTTCTCTCCCCTGTTGTTGGTGTGTGTACACTGAAATTTTAAATGGCGAATATTGTATTAAATACAGGTAAGAAATTGGCAGCACGATTTCTGGATTGGTGGAAATGCTGCATTCCTATTGGACGCTGTAAAGCCCATGAACCGCTTTATACCGTTCCGGGCCCGACACGTGTCCGTATGGGACAGCACGGATGGGTGCCACCGGCCCACCTGAGTGGAGAATATTCCTGTTTATGGGATTACATTAACTTAAATCTGTATCAAATGTATGTTACGCCATGACCTAAATGAGTTTTTTTTCTAATCTTCTAGTTTAGGGCAAAGCCATTTGAAAGTAAAAGTCCCGCCATTTTCGGGTCAGGGGCTTTTGGGCATTGCCCCGGATTGGCGGCGATGTCGATGAGCGGCTGTCCGCTAGGTATTGCGCCAGTGAGCTAGTTGTGGGAGACATCAGTGATGCTGTTGGAGCTGAGGCTCAGCACTGCTACGCCGTTGATGGTGTCTTGGTCATTGGGATCTTGCCCAACCAGCTCGGAATGGCTCAAGGCCAAGAAGGTGAGAACTCTCGTTATTAAGGCGGTGAATGCCGCCCCCGCGGCCGCTACCGGGGCATCGAACGGCCACTCGAAGGGATTGCTCTCGGCAAGGACGCGTCCCACGGAGGATCCCTCGGCCCCAAAGTTCATGCCACTGCCATCGTTCGAGGAGTGCTTCCCAAATTGCACCAAAGAAACCACGTAAGAAATCTTCTTCTTTTTTTTATCGATTGATCGATTGGTTTCTTTCTCTACGATTGATCGATTGGTATCGTAGAGATCAAACGGGGGGTGTCCACTGGATAGATGCACGCGACGAAAGGGAACCTTGAGCGTAGAGCCTGTTTCTTCATGCACAACGTCTCTAAGAAATGAAGAAAGAGACCGCAAAACATCGATCCGCGAAATGGTATGCTGTCGATCCAATTTTTTTTTCTCTCATGCATGCCTTTGAGCAGGAATCCCGAAACTCAGGAAAGCTTGGATCGAGAGACGCGAGGCAAAGTCCCAGCCAAGGATGACGCAAATGTTCTACGCAAAGAAGGGAGTCATCACTGAGGAGATGCTCTACTGCGCGACCAGAGAGAGCATGGAACTCGAGTTCGTCCGCTCGGAGGTTGCTCGAGGCCGGGCGATCATTCCCTCCAGCAAGAAGCACACGGAGCTGGAGGCGATGATCATCGGGAGGAACTTCCTCGTCAAAGTTAACGCAAACACCGGCAACTCGTCTGTGACGAGCTCGATCGAGGAGGAAGTCCAGAAGTTACAGTGGGCGACTCGATGGGGAGCTGACACGATCATGGATCTGTCACAGGCCGCCATATACACGAGACGAGAGAGTGGATTCTAAGGCCGGTCGGGACTGTTCCCATCTATCAAGCGCTCGAGAAAGTTGACGGCATCGCCGAGAACTTGACGTGGGAGTTGTTTCAAGAAACTCAGGCCCAGCAGGGTGTGGACCACTTCACGATCCATGCTGGTGTGCTGCTGCGGTTCATCCCACTCACAGCAAACCGGGTGACGGGAATAGTTTCCAGGGGTGGCTCCATTCACGCAAAGTGGTGCCTGACACATCACAAGGAGAACTTTGCGTACGAGCACTGGGACGATATCCTCGACATTTGCAATCAGTATGATATCTCGCTCTCCATCGGCGATGGCCTGCGACCCGGCTCGATTCACGACGCGAACGATCAGTCGCAATTCTCGGAGCTGGCTGTATAAGGCGAGCTCACTCGCCGGGCCTGGGAGAAGGAGGTCCAGGTGATGAACGTAGGCCCCGGCCTCGTACCACTCCACAAGATCCCAGAAAACATGGAGAAGCAGCTCGACTGGTGTAACGAGGCACCGTTTTACACGCTGGGGCCCTTGACGACCGATATCGCCCCTGGATACGATCACATAACTTCGGGCATTGGAGCCGCCACCATTGGAGCTCTCGGGACTGCGCTGCTGTGCTACGTGACGCCGAAGGAACATCTCGGGCTGCCGAACAGGGACGACGTGAAGCAAATACGCTGCGGACCTTGCGAAACAGCATCCTTTCGCTCAGGCTTGGGACGACGCGCTGAGCACGGCGAGATTCTAGTTCCGGTGGAGGGACCAGTTTGCACTGTCGTTCCCCCATGACAGCGATGGCGTTTCACGACGAGAGCGAAGGAGCAAAAGTCGCGTACTTTTGCTCCATGTGTGGTCCAAAGTTTTGCTCCATGAAGATCACGGAGGACGTGAGGAAGTATGCCGAGGAGCATGGCTACACCAATATGGAGGACGCGATGAAAGACGGCATGGCTAAGATGAGCCAGGAGTTTTCAGCTGCGAAGAAGACCATCACCGGCGAGCAGTGGGGAGAGTCCGGCGGGGAGATCTACTTACCGTAGGAAAGCAAGGAACCAGTTGCTTAAGAGCGATGGACCAAAGATCATCTTGTCTCACAAGGTAAGCTTTTCTTTCTTTTCTTCAGTTGCTTGAAAGCTTTGTCTTTGTAGGTGATCTCACCAAAGAAAGGAGCAACAGGATTTGGATCTGGAGAAGATGACGATCAAGTTTGAAGGTAGAGTTCGGTTTGGTTTGTATTGAATAGGTGGAGGTGCTCTCGCTTGTGTAGCTAGATTTCTCTTTCGTTTTTGCTCTATAAGTTTGAGGGTTCACTATTTTTCATTTCTGACAGTGGTAGCACCAGGGGTGCTTGTCCGTCTCAGGGACAGGCTGAGAGAGTCCCTTTGCACCTGTGAACAGGTTAATACCTGCGTAGGGAGCGTGCTGCTTGTGCTGTTTTGCAGGTGTGGATCGCGCGCGCGAGGATCAAAGTTTTGTTCCGAGCGAGAATCAATCGATGATCGCTTCGATTGTCCAAGGTATGTGGTTCCATCCGTCGAGATCTTGGTTTTTCTTGGATTCTTTCTAGTTGCAGCGTTTTTATTCTTCGTATTATGTTCTTTCTAACGAGTTCGGTCACTAAATATTGTACGGCAAGAAAATTCCAAGGCTGTAAAACAGGAATGAATGAATGAATATGATTATTTTCCATTCGCAAAAATCGGTGTAACCATTGTAAGATTGGCACCTTTTACATTCTCATAGTTTCCAAGTCTTAGCTCGAGCAAGAACATCTCTTACATTAGGACACCTCGGCCCCCCATGACTCTGGGCCTTCCCCTGTTGGCATCGTGTAGTCGCTTCATGGACTTGTTTATCCTCGCCCTCTTGGATTCCATTGCTTCACGTTGCATTATACTCTCTCTAATCGCTTCTCCATCAAACTTAGACTTCGGACGAATCGAGAAATTCATGGTCATGGGCTGGGGAGCTATGATTGGTGGAATTCTTCTCTTTTTTGAAGATGGCTTCTCCCTGAGATCCAAATTTTCTTCGACAATCGCTATTACCGGTCGCTTTTTCCATGGAGAAGAAATTGTTTCATCGTGGACGACCTTGCTTTGACAAATCCCTGTGTCAAAAACCACACAGCTCCACTTCTCAATCAGCCTATTGGCCAACAATTTATTCTCCTGCGTCTCTTCCTTGTGCTCTAGGAAATACCTCACCAGCATGCCCAGCCCACTCCACACCAACTGTTTCATCATCCAAATCGATCGGCATCTTCTCAAGCAAGATTGTGAAGATTGTGCTGCGAATCAGGGGCAGTGACCCCTCTGGAAGCGGCTTGAGCCAAGCAGCGAGAAGCATCAATACACCCTTATCAAACAAGTGGGCATGGTAGAATCACTTCTCAGCCACTCCAACGAAAAATTCGAGCATTTTCAGCTTGCTGGTGGCCGGCTTGGATTGCCTGTTAAGCTCCCTGTCCTCCTCAGCAGCATAAGCCAGCTTGATAATCACTTGCTCTGTGAACTTCGCCACCTCCGCCATGGCTTCGAGCTAGACTTGGACGAAATTTTCAGGGTCTGAAACCCTTTATATACAATTCTAGCAAAAAGGTACCAAATGTAAAAGAGCGCATATTATCTGGGTTCTTTTATCTAGGAAAAAATGTGAGGAAATAAAAAAAAGTGAGCAAAAAAAAAAAATTGTTAACGTCAATAATGCCCACGCCCCGGATTGCCGGCGAAGTTCTCCCGCCGCTAGGTATGGCGCCAGTGAGGTGGTTGTGGGAGACGTTCAAGTAGTTCAGGTTCTTGAGCGCCAGGATGGTGGGATTTTCCCAGTGATGCGGTTGGAGCTGAGGCTCAGCACTGCAACGAGGTCATTTCGTCTTGGATCATTGGGATCTTGGAGAACCAGCTCGGGATGGCTCCTGTGAGCTGCGACGAGGTCGATCCGGAAAAGAAGTGCCCTCCCAAGTCGCGAACTTCCAGCTGACGCAGCTTAACCAAAGGCAGGAGGTACGGGACCATCCATGCCATTATCGTGGACACTGAGAGTCCGGAGCTGAGAGAGGCTTCCCAGTTCTGGAGACAGCATACCTCTTAATCCCATGGACTCCAGCTTGAGCTCGCTCACACGTCCGCTAGCTCCGTCGCATTTGACACCAGGCCAGGCACAGCAGCTGGATTGCTGGGTCCAGTTGGTAAGCAGCTTACTCCGATCGTCGTCGGCATTTTTGAAAGCCAGCAATGCCTTCTCGTCTTCGCTGTTGCAGGATGCCGCAGTGGTGCCGTGAACAAGGAGCGAAACGAGTAAAACAACGAGAAGTGTTCGAGACATTGCAAGGGAACCCACAAGCGAATGATGATGTGAGGTAATCTAAGAGGCTCACTCTCTATTTACCTTAATAGGAGAGAGCGCGCACTGTGAGGGACGAAAGAACTTCAAAGGTACTTATACTAAGAAGTCCTGCTGCATATCTTCAAGGATAGCGTTCTGTTTATATCGTTCCAGCATTGAGAGTGGCACTGTTCAATTGGTGCCAGGAGGTTAACTTTTAGTTCCAAGTTCAATGGGTCTTACACACTCTCCTACTTTACAACTAGCAAGGTACACCATGTTCATGCTAGAGATTTTTTTTTTATACAACTCCTGATAGGGACCGAATCTTGTGGAGCTCCATGATAGCTTCATATGCAAGAGCCACAGGCAGCAAGGCAACGAAATGCAGGCCGTCGATTCTCAAAACTCTTTGCTTTGCATCCATCGTGGCCGCACAAAGGCAGAAGGCCATTTGAAAACTAAAAGTCCCGCCATCTTCATGACAGAGCTAGGGTTTTTGGGGAGCACGGGGGCAGGGGCTTGCCGCAGAGCCCCGGATTGGCGGCAAAGTTCTCCGGATCCATGTCGATGAGCGGCTCTCCGCTAGGTATGGCGCCAGTGAGCTGGTTGTGGGCGACATTCAAGTAGTTCAGTTTCTTGAGCGTCAGGAATTCCACTGGAATCTTGCCGGTCAGGCGGTTCCTGGCAAGGTCTAGCCTCTGCAAGCTCGTGAGATTGGCGAGGCTGGGAGGGATGGCGCCAGTGAGCGCGTTGTCATCCAGGTAGAGCCCCGTGAGTTGGGTCAGCTGGCCAAGCTCTGGTGGGATTTCCCCAGTGATGCGGTTGGAGCTGAGGCTCAGCACTGCGAAGTCGCTGACGACGTCTTTGGCGTCTTGGGCCATTGGGATCTTGCCGAACCAGCTCGGGATGGCTCCTGTGAGCTGGGAGTGGTCGAGCACGAGGAAGGAAACTTGGGGGAGTGTGGTCAGTCCTTCGAGAGCCTGAAAGCTGAGGTTGTTGTAGTTGAGTCCGAGGTGGTATAGCGTTCCTTTTCCCATGTTGCTCAAGTCTTTCGGGACTCCCGTAAGGAAGTTGTCGCGCAGCTCCAGATACCTCAACTTGGGAAGAGTTTTTCCAAAGCTGTCTGGAAGTTTTCCTTGGATCTTGTTGGACTGGAGGAAGAGGTGCTTGAGGTTGGAGATTCTTCCCAAGGAATTGAGCAAAGCTCCAGTGATGGAGTTGAAGGAGAGGTCTATCTCGCATGTAAGCTCGGGGTGTTCCTTGAGGTTGATGCTTCCAAACCAGGAAGGTATTGACCCTTGGAGCTTGCAGCCGCTGAGAGAGATCGTTGAGAGCCCCGGGAGTGTTTTCAGCCCGGAGATGGCGTCAAAGCTCGTGATATTATTGTTATCCAGTCGGATGACTTGCAAGCTGCTAAGGTTGGCCATGTTGGTGGGAAGCCCAGTGAGGTTGTTCATCGAAAGCTGCAGCCTTTTGAGGTTTTTGAGACCTTGAGCAAAACCATCTGGAATACGACCCGACAGCTGGCTTGCCGAGGCCCAAAGCTCGCTGAGATTGGAGAGAAGGCCTAGAGACTCGGGGATGCTGCCGCTGAATGAGTTGGACGAGATATCCAGCTTGACAAGTTTGCTAAGACGGCTGAGAGAACTCGGTATTTGTCCAGTAAGCCCAGTGCCAGACAGCTAAAGTTCTTCCAGGGAAGCGAGCTGGCCGAAAGAGCTCGGAATGGGGCCATGCATACCTCTGTTGAAAGAAAGGTCCAGTACCTTGAGTTTCTTGAGGATGCCGAGCGTGTCGGGGTATCGTCCAGCGACGTTGGTGCCTGATATCTTCAACGTCTCCAAGCTGGCAAGCTTGCCTAGCGATGGAGGAATGGAGCCGGACAACTTGGTGCCACTCAAGTCGAGATATTCCAAGTTTTGGAGGTCACCGAGACGCTCTGGAATGGATCCTGTGAGCTCGGAAATGCTTGAGAGATCGAGACGTTGGAGGCTTTTCAGTTCCCCGAAGGATGAGGGAATGGAACCTGTGAGCTTGGGAGAACCCGAGAGATAGAGACGCTGAAGGCTTTTCAGTTGCCCAAGGGAGGAAGGAATGGAGCCTGTGAACAAGCTTGCTCTGAGATTCAAGACAAGGAGTTTCTCGAGCTTGGCGAGGAACGACGGAATGCGGCCCGAGCCGTCGGCCCTTTCAAGGATGAGGTACCTCAAGCTGGTAATTTCCCAACTACGGATGGAATCGGTCCCTCAAATCTATAACCTGTCAGATCCAGCGTTTGCAGTGTGGATGCAAGCTGAGCAAGCGATGATAGCAATGGTCCGGAGAAGAAGTTCCCTCCCAAGTCGAGAACTCCAGCTGACGCAGCTTATCAAAGGCAGGAGGTACGAGACCATCCATGCTATTATCGTGGATGCTGAGCGTCCGGCGTCTGAAGCTTTGAGAAACAACTTCATCATTGAACGTTCTGGTTTCAATTCTTACTTTTGGAGGTTTGTTCTTTACATTCTTTGTTTATTGCATGTCCATTGCAGCAGTAAAGCCGGCCACAGCATTCAAGGTCGAGATAGCCACTGACGCTGCTGCAAGGGTGCGCTTTGCATCAAACGGGAAGATCAAGATGTATGGCAAGCTTTCGAGAGTTAAGGATGCTCGGCAAGTTTTCGATCGCATGTGTGACAAGGACTCGGTGTCTTGGTTCTTGATGCTATCTGTGTATGCGCAAAATGGTCATATGGAAGAGGCCAAGCTGATGTTTTCCCAAATGCCGGAGAGGAGTTTGATTTCTTTCAACATGATGTTATCTTCGCTTGGTCGGTGTGGATGTGTACAAGAAGCTTACAAAATCTTTAACGAGATGCCTCACAGGGATTTAGTGTCTTGGAACGCCGTGATCTCTGCATATGGCCAAAATGGGTATATCAACGAGACGGTTCAGGTGTTTGATGCCATGCCCGAGAGAGATTTGATCTCTTGGACGGTAATTTTAACGTTGCATGCGAATAATAGAAATTTGGAAGAAGCTAAGAACATCTTTGAGAAAATGCCAGAAAGAGATCTAGCTGCTTGGAACTGTATGCTGAATGCATATTCCCAAAGCGGGTATCCGCAGGAGGCAAGGCGTGTGTTTTATTCTATGCCTCAGAGAAGTCTCATTTCCTGGACTGTGATGTTAAACCTCTCTGCCGCAAATTCTAGTTTACAAGAAACAAAGAACATATTCGAAGCCATTCCAGAATTTAATCTAGTTTCGTGTACGTCAATGATTTCTGCATATGCCCAATCAGGGTATCTCTTGGAAGCTAAATCACTATTTGATAGAATGCCATGCTGGAACTTGGTAACATGGACCGCGATGCTGGCAGCATGTGTGCGCGCTGGCAGCATCTTCATGGCCGAGGACATCTTTCAAAAAATGCCATTCAAGAATCCAGTCGCATGCAACGCCATGCTAGCCGGATATGCCCACGCTGGCAAAGTTGAGCAGGCAAAGTGTATATTTGACAAAATGCCATGCTGGAGTTTAGTATCGTGGAGTTCACTGCTGTATGTCTACGCAGGATCAAGAGATATGGACTTGACACGACGATTTTTCGATAAAATGCCATACCACCAGCTAGTTTCCTGGAACACCATGCTTGATGCTTATGCCCAAAACGGGTATATGGCAGAAGCAAGGGTCATGTTCAATGCAATGGTGGAGAAGGACGTAATTTCTTGGACTATAATGGTTGCTGGCTATGGCCTTAGTGGCCAGAGTTCACTTGCAAGAAAATCTTTTGCCCAGATGCCAGGGAAGAATGAAGTTTCTTGGGATGCAATGCTCAGTGCATGCACCCAAGCAGGGGATTCGGTTTCTGTGTTTGAGTTGTTTCACACTATGCAGATGGCCGGCATTTACAACCAAGTTGGATTTGTCTCCGTTCTCAATGCTCACGGCCAAGTTGGCAGTGTTAAATGTGCTAGAAGTTGCTTTGTTTCGATGGCTTTTGACTGTGGCATTCAGCCATGTCACCAGCATTACTCCTGCATAATCGATGGCTTGGCAAGAGCTGGTTACATTGACAATGCAAGAGAACTCATCGGAAACATGCCATTTGTTCCCACTTCTTTGGATTGGCTGTGCCTTTTAGCTGCATGTCGGAGCCTCGAGTGTGGAACCTGCGTATCAAAATGGGTGTCTGGAATTGCGAGCAGCAGAGCTATGTATCCTCTCCTGGCAAATGTATGGACTTGGCATTGATAGAATCTAAGGAAAAAATAAACTGCTGCCTGGATTATGTTGTCAAATTGCTCGAGAATTTAAGACTAGAAGTACCAATTGCGTTTCATGCTTGATAAATTCAAATATTGACAAAATGGGAAAAATACAAATCATTTGTCTATATAACACCCAGGATCTGAGCGTGGACCTCCTGGACCAAATCACCAGAGGCTCTGAGAGATCGCGAGCAACTTCAATCAGACAGATACCTTGCAATACCTAGCGATTGAGGTGTGTGGAAAGTGCACCAGGCGAAAATTGTGTTTGATGATCCGCCTGAGGGAATGTGTTTGATTCTATGCGAATGTTCTCAAAACTCTTGGAAAACTAGAAAACGATCAATGTTTAATGCCTGACGACGATACTTGCTGCATGATAGGTACTAACAAAAGCAAATATTCCTCTGCCCCACGATGCTCACACGTCGGAGCGATGGAGATGGAACGCGATGCCCTCGTCATGGCAGCGTGGGCTGCCTTCTTTGGAATCGATACTCCAGCTGACTCGATCCAACGCCTTGGACTCCTCCAAATCATGCGGTGCTTCGGTACCCGGCCTAGTCTCGCTGCACCAAACGACGATTAAGTCAATGCAAGTGCTACGTCCATATCACCCATGTTTTGTATACACTTCCTTACAGATTGGGCTTCACAGGAATCTTAGACATGCACGCTTGATTCCTCTGGCAACAGCACGCAACGTAGCTCCGACCTCTCAAACTCCTTGAAGGATCGGTCACCAGTGATGTAGAACACAAAGGCGGGAGGGGACTTGTCAAGGATGTATGTCACTGCTCCAAGATGGAGGCAGAGCATGGAGACGTGTACCGCAGCGAGTGCTGCCACTAGCCAAGCGAAAAGAAAGCCGTAGCTTGGGTAAAGCGTCCAGGCCTTCCCGAGTACTGGGAGTGCCATGGCGAAGACCGAGTCGGAGATACCTTCCCTGCCAAAGAAACAGAAGAATATTAGAGAGCTTTGATTGATCAAAACTGTCACACCTGTAATCGAATGTCTGGAGATATGGATCTACAACCGCTGAAACGCCTCCCGTGGAGCATCGAAACCAACTGAAGCCATTCTCCACAACACGGAAAGCATCGGCCTCTTTCGCCCAGGGACCGCTTGCTCCCCAAGTCGCGGCTGGTTGGAGCATGATATCAATCCTAGCACATTCACCAGAAACTTAGAGAACACCGTCATAACTTCGCTCTACCTCTTTTTCCCGGCCTGCCGCATCAGGTCTGGAAACTCGAAATCGTAACAAATAGCTCCTCCAATCCGCCCGAGCTCGGTCTTGATGGCAGGAAGAATGGGATCCCCTGGAGTTCCATACCACTCCATGAATGGAACCAAGTGGGATTTCCTGTAGCTAAATCCAATGGAGCCATCGGGAAGAACGAGGTCGAAATAGTTCCCGACGCTCGCGTCCTTGTACTCGTAAGTGATGCCAACGTAGGCACCGTGCTGGGAAGCGATCTGTCCGGCTTTGAATTGGAGAGAATCCCTCTCCTGTTTGAGGTCGAGTTTCACCGCAGCCTCGGACCAGAGCACCAGTCGATCGCCGGCTCGGAGGCGCTGCCTCGTCCTGTTGAGCATCACATCCATGTCCTCGTAGAAGAGGACCTTGCCCAGGACGCAAGAGACCGGCACTGTTTTCTTCATCGTGAGGGCGATGTCCTTCTGGAAGAAATCCCCCGAGAAAATGGAGACCCTGGCGCTGCCGTAGAACAAGATCGAGAAAGCAATGGCTCCAAACGCCAGGGAGTGGCCGCGATGCAGCTGCATAGCACGCTTCTTGTCGGATTTCTCCATCTTGGAAAGATTCTCGTTGAGAACGGCCCTGTCGTGGAGAATCGCCGAGAACCACGCCATGAGGAATGCGATTCCATCGATCCCCCACACACCGGCGCTCATCACCAGCGGCAAGATTGTAACCTGGGAAACGGCGGGATGGAGGAAGGAGCCGACGCCGCCGAATCGATTCCACAACAACCACGCTGTGGTCCAGATCGACGCGAATACCAGCGGCTGGGACGTTCTTGCTCGATCAAAACGCTTTCTGTAGCCGATGCTTGCAAGAAATGGGAGGAGAAGAAACATCCACAGTGCCAGTGCCCAGATTATTCCCACAATTGGCACGCTGCTGGCCTTGGAGTTGTCTGGGCTCACCTTTCCTGGGAAGAATGCCAAGAATGCCAGGCTCGCGGCAGTGGTGTGGAGGATGAGCGCCAGGAGAATTGTGAGTGCTGCAGAGCTCCATGAGCAAAAATTGTGTGAAATGCCTGATTTGTGGAAGAAGTGCAGGAGGAAAAATGGTTGGAGCCAAGAACAAATTGCAACAGATTGGAAACCAGAGAAAAAAGTGCACACCACCGAGAGAATGACCAACAGTGCCACCTTTGTCATGTCTCTTGGTGTGTTAGGTGGTAATTTATAATGAGGCATATATAATGCCATTTTATATTTAGTAAGTTTTTGTGATTGTTTCAAAAACCAACTCTTGGGACTAAATTAAAATCTAAAATTTTGTTTTTAGACTCTTTTTTTATCTTATTATTTTAACTTGGTCCTCCCTTTGCCAACATTTACAATCATATTTAAATTGCTTTCCACTACATAGAACATATGTTAGTCAACTATACTCACTCTCCTTATTATACATTAAAACTCATTAGAAGCTTAAAAGTTTGGGGTCGTTAAGTGGTGAAGAACCTCAAAAAGAGGCATACATAATTTAGAGAGATTAAATTTTGTTTTTTCAGTTTAGATTATAACATTAACATTCTCATGGCTAACAAGTGGAACAAAAATATTCTAAGAGAATATTTAATATAATAAAGTTTGGTAAACTTTATCTGCTAGGGTTTAACCCCAAGCTCTATACTATTTCAAAAAAAGATTGGAGTGTGGTGCTTATCTCAAGTTCTTTCTCCCTCAAGAAGCTGGATGGACGCTTAGTGATTTCAGCAATGAATCCCCCTACTCGATCATGTTTGGGCCAGACAAATGTGGTGCCACCAACAAAGTCCACTTCATCTACAAGCACAAGGGCCCAAAATCCGACAAGCACACCTCAAGTACCCGCCATTGCCAGTGGCTGACAAGCTCTCTCACGTCTACATGGCAGTGATCTACCTGAACAACACGCTCAAGATCCTCATCGGCGGCAAGGAGGAGAAGAGCATCGACCTCCTCTCGAGCGACTTCCATCCCCAATCCCGACGACAAGAAGCCCGAGGACTGGGACGAGCGGGCGAAGGTCCCGGATCCGGAAGCGACCAAGCCTGAGGATTGGGGATCTGGGCTCCGAAGCAAATACTGAACCCGGAGTACTTCGAGTTGGACAGGCCGGATCTAGAGCCGATCTCGAATCGAGATCTGGACGATGCAGGACGGCATTCTTTTTGACAACATCCTAGTGGCAACTGACAAGGCTGTGGCAGCAGAGTACAGGGAGACGAAATGGAAGCCCAAGTACTAGGCTGAGAAGAAGCAAAAAATTGAAGAAGCGACTCCGAGTCCTGACGGCATTGGTACTTTTCCATTGTCTTCTTTTGTCTGTCTTTTTTTTTTTGTTGTGTGTGTGTGTGACGACCTTGAATCTTTTCAGGCAAAGATGTTTGAGTACCTGCGCAAGGTTGCCGACATCCCGGCTTTGGCGTCACAGAAGGAGAAGATTCTTGTAAGTAAAACACACGAGCATGGACTTTGTCTCGTATTCTAACTTTTTCTTTTCGTTTGTGACAGGATCTTCTGGAGAAGGCCGAGAAGTTCCCAACCATTTCTTTGAGCGCCATAGCTTTGATCCCGCTCATCTTGGTGGTCACGCTATTTAAGATTCTTTTTTGTGGCAAGAAATCGCCCCCCAAGAAGACGAAGGTACAATTAGCAATAGTGCTGCGGGAGTTTTGGACACTCATGGTTGTTTGTCTTGCGCAGGTGACTGTTGAGAAGTCCAGAGGAAGACATCTCCAGCCCGGACGATTCCAAGGACAAGGCGGAGGACGACGCGGCTGGCAACGAGATTGAGAAGGAAGGCGAGGGCGCCTGCCAAAGGAGAACCCGACGCGAATTGTAAGAAAACAGGAGGTGAGATAGATTGAAGCTTTTACTCGAGAGAAGACAAGAGAAGAGAGCCCAAAACGTTGTATTGTAAGTGGATGTTTCCCTTTTTTTTGGATTTTACTTAAATCACTATAGTACCTGAAGTACATAGAATTGCTGAATAGATTCTAGGAGGTTACCTTAAACCATTAACACAACTAGGTTGAAATGGGGTGCAAAGCAACTAGGTGATGTGTCTCTTACTCTAGCACCCTCTTTATTATAATTGGCTTTTTCCCTCATTCTTGGAGATTTTGGTGATTATTTTTTTCCAAAATTAAATACATCTTCATAATATAGGCTGTATTAGTGGTAGAGGTGGTATAATAAATACCCCAAAACCTTTAACCAATTTTAATTGATTAAAAAAAAAGATGCTTTATTCATGGGCCCTTTCTCTATATATGTGAGACACAAATCCCTAAACCCCAAAGTGAAGCAAAAAAGGTGCCACATAGTAGTGGTCAAAGCAGAAATTTAACAAGCATAACATGTTTAGACTAAAGGCTTTAACTTAGAAAGTCAAGAGTGGGACTGGAACTTTGAATGAAGTGCTCGAGGGATGAGCATGAAGCAATCAATGAATAAATATCTAAAAAGGGACATAAGAAGGATTGACATATAGTAAGTGTTGTAACACATGGCAGTGTCAGGAACGAGTTTGAGAAGTAGTCTAAGATGGAGTTTGATATGGATTTGAGATGGAGTCTGAGATGGAATCTGAGATGGAGTCTGAGATGGAATCTGAGATGGAATTCGAGATGGAATCTGAGATGGAGTCAGAGATGGAGTTTAATATGGACATGAAATGGAGTCCAAGATGGACCCAAGATGGAGTCTGAGGTCGAGTTTGAGATGGACCTAAGATGAAGTTCGAGGTCGAGGCCAAGAAAGAGATTGAGACTAAGACCAAGACTAAGGCCGAGACCGAGTCCAAGTCTGAGACCAAATCTGAGTCCGAGTCCGAATTCGAGTGTGAAGGTGAATCTCCCAAACCCTAGGGGGTTTGGTAAGCTCCAAAAGTATAGTAAGGGGAAGACTTCAATGGAGTCAATTTGGCTCGGAAATGCCAATGTAACCAAAGAAGGTTATACCCACATGGTGGATGATGCTATAACCATTGAGGAGTCCAAGGTTAGAGTGAACATAGATAGACAAATGGGGTAGTTTTATGAAGTTTTCAAAAGTTAGTTTTAGTTCCTTCGGGAGATCAAATAGTTAATGTTCCCAATCCAAATATGGGTGGCATTATCTACTTGGATATTTAGCATGGCTCATTGGAACTTTGCTTTAGCCACATGGCTAAAGCACCCAAAGATGGAGGGTGGGGAGGTTCACATAGGGTTACAGTATTTCAAAATGTTGTCCCAAAGTCCCAGACTATGAAAAGGAAGAGAAACAATCCTTTTGTATAGTGACCAAAGATGTAGTCATGTGGTAAGGAAGTCCCAGAAGTCAATAGGACATAGTGGTTGCACCTTTGGGCCATGACCCATTGGTAGTGTTGGTGAATATAGCTGGGACAAAAAAGAACTTGGTAAGGACTGAAAAAGAGATGTTAGGGAAGGCTATTCTTCATATCTCCAAGCATCCTAAAGATGCTAAATAGTGGTTTTGATATGACTAATCATGCATAGATAGCCTAGTATTTAAGAGAGGGGATTATGGCACAAGTGGTCTAGGATTACTATTGAGATAAGGGTAAATAGACACAACCTTAGTGTAGCAGGTTGTTATGTTAGTAGTACCTTTGGGGTGTCAATCATAGGATTAAATATGTGGAGCACTTGGACCAAATGCAAAGGTTAAGTGGCATAGATATCATTCATGGGGCTAGTAAATCCCTAAGTCCAAAATAGAACTTATGAAGGTTGTGAATGAAACTCTTTTAAGTGGTTGAAGGTGTGGTTAAATAACTAAAGTAAAATGAAAAATTTAATCACTTATAACTTAGTATCAAAGCTATTCTTTAGTTCAACTCTTATTGATGGTCGAGTATATCACCACTTGTATTGGCATCAAAAGGCCTTAGGAATAGGCTTATCCTCAAGGAGTAGCAGGTTGAGATGGCATGACTCTCCACTTTAGTTTATACGTGAATATATAAATAATGTGGTGGATAAAAAGGGGCTAATAAATGAATGACTTTGGGATTTTGGGAATAGTATAAGGTTTTTCTTCGAAAGTTGAGATGAGAGTTTGATTTAGCAAATTGGCTAATATGGTTAAGGTAAATAACTATAATTGGATCACGGGAAGGATGAAGACTCTAAGACAATAAAGGAGTTGTAAAATTAACTTCATATAGTTGAGGATGGTGCTCATGAATTTGAAACAAAAATTAATGACCATGGAAAGTCAAATGCAAAAGAGAACACAAGTCCTTAAAATAGTAGCTAGGGCTACCTTTAATAAATGTTGGAACAACCCAATAAGTTAAGGCTATATTTAGAGGATGAGTTGGTATTCTCATTATATGGACAGATAATCCTAAAGGGCAAAGTGTTAGGCGCCAGCTTTGACTATGTGGTCAACGTTGGTCAAAGGGAGGCTCAAGGGTATATTAAGGCATGTTAGAGTAAGGGACTTAACCTACCCTAGGGCTCACAGTGGAGCAGCGGCGCAGTGGAGCTTTTGAGGTAGCTTAGGGGTGGTTGGGTGGTGAGGAACCTCAAGAGGTGGCATAGCATAGTCTAGGGCGACTAGATCTCTATCTTTTTGTGCCGGATTATAACATTGGTATTAGAGGGAGGTTGGTTGCGATGGCCGACCAAGCTGAATGCTGGAATCCTATTATCAATGGTGGTGCTAACAATGGTGCCGACGAAGTTACGGAGATTTGGACCATTCAAGATGTGATTCATGAGCCCTTAATCGAAATCAGCAAGAGATGCAAGACGAGATGCATGGCATGATGGATACCATGCATGGGTGTGTTGAGGCACTTGAGGCTGGACGAGGTAGCGCTCCAAGTAAGCCTTCTTTGGTAGATCGACTTAAGATTCCAACTTTTTCCGGTGATGGTGGTGTGGACGAGTGTCTCACTTGGCTAGCCAATGTGAAGAAGTTCTTGGCTGCTAGAGGAACTCTAGATGTAGAGGCTTTAGTGGCTATTCCGATGGTTTTGCGTGATGCGGGTCTTCGATGTGTAAGCTCCTGAGTTTGGACTTCCCGGGAGGTCACCCAGCTCAGTACTATTCACACCCAAGGACGCTTAACCCCAAATATCCTAAGACCCTTAACCGATTGGAAAAAGGGGTGCACTCTTGTTCATGAGCCCTTTCCCTCTATATTTGAACCCCATGGATCGTCTCTCGAGTCGTTCTCTTTGGTTGCTTACATGATGGTGGAATTGGCTTGAGGAGTCCTGTGTTGCGGATAAGAAACCACCAGTGTCTACCATGGATGAGTTT